AAATCGAAAAGGGTCGGGGTCAAAAGTGGTCGATTTGGCATGGAATACCCCATATACACGATATAACGCGGTTTGTCACGACGATAGCGGTCAACAATCTTAAGGGATCTCAATGAAACTCAACATACTTATTCTATCGACTACTAGGAAGGTCAAGTTCGAATATGAGCTTAATTAGTCAAATAGTTTAGAAATTACAGCATTTAAAAATTTTGAAATTTTGAAAATTTGATACTTTCACTACTTCTCCCTCAAATAACTTTTGAACGCTTTGAGTTATTCGATTCCTGTAAATTGCATCTAAAAGCTGAGACATTAAACTTCAATTTATGTGCTCACATTTTTTTCTAAAGCAAAAAAAATTCATCTTAGGATCATTTTTAAGAAATTTTACTCTTGCAGTCGTTTTGTCTATACAAAACTGACTGAAAAATACTGAAGTACAATAATTCTTCTCTTTCGTTATTAAACGTTATTTATTTTTTTTTTTTTTGTATTTAATCCTAGTAGTTTTTAATTTTATTCATCATGAAATCTACTTCCATTTCGGCTGCCGAATGGCCTTTTTTATTTGTATTGGAGTCACATTTAATTAATGCCTTATATATTAATAATTTAATAATAATTTTAATTATCTTAATAATAATGTTCGGATTCTCTATTCGTTGAGTTATTTATTTATTTATTGAAAATATCAGGTGTTATGATTATTATTTCATTAAAAATAAAAAAAAAAGGATCCGAGTGGGATTTGATCCTGAATCGCTAGCCATTTTAAAATATTATTACTATTATTATTATGGTTAGTATTATGATTATTTAACGTCTGGTTTAATGGTAAACATGTCAGAATGGGAAGAAATTCCCCAAGTTACCGTTAAATTAGACGTACGCTCATGAAGCACTCAGTGATGTAACGTCTGGTTTGATGGTAAAATTATCTGAACGTTAAATTGGAAAAAAGCACCGTCAAAATGGAACTCAAATTTCGACTCGGGACGTCCAAGTTTGGCAAGCCAAAATTCAGAAAAAATTCAGGTTATCGTTAATTGAATCCAGTTCGGCATTTCCATGATATATCAGACTTGAGGAATCGAATAGACTTTCCTAGTTACGTCCAAATATGGCAAGCCGAACTTCGACAGTCATTTGGTTACCGTTATTACAAATCAGTCGGGCATTTCTATAGTATGCCGGACTTCGGCAATGCCACACAGTTTCAGGATCACAACCAAATTTGGAATATCTTCGGCATGCCAATTTTCGTTCTGTCTACCTTGGTTTTTATGAGGTGCAACCTAGGCAGGCCTAAGTTCGGAAAGCCAAATTTACCCCAAACTGATTCTTCGGCATGCCTCACTAAAATTCTAGTCGGGTTATATAATATAAATTTAATAATCTATGGTAGTTTTTCAAGTTGATATTATGATTATATTGCATCAATGTTACTATGGATACTTTGTCTTTGATATTGAGCCATATCCCGGGTAAAAAAATTTATATATATTATTATATATGAAAAACGGCCCTATAATGTATATATATATATATATATATATATGGAATATTTTACCAACCTTATTGTTACTTTCTGACAAATTTTTAATTCATTTTAAATTTAATTAATTAATATTTTAATTAATTCATTATTAATCGAGGTATTTCGTAACGGAAATACCTCGAGATGAGAGATTCCTCGAACGTCAACGCAGCCCAGTAGACTAAACTGTCTACGTTGTGGGATTTGGACTGCGTTGATGTTTTCATAGGGTAACCTGAGATGCAACGTCGCTAAAAATCTGTATATAAACTCATTGTAATAATCATTCAAAAGCATTTTGTCTCCAGACTTCTTCTGGAGCAGTCAGTCCGAGGACTTAGGAGAGGAACAATCTCTGCTGGTCCGAGGCTGAACCTGCCAATTCCTTTTTAATAAATCTATTTAATTGTCAATCAATTAAAATGGAAATTTATTAAAACTTTAACCCAGGGTTGAGAGCGCTTATCAGCGTTCCACCCTGGTTCCTTTACCTGGAGCGCTAGCCAGCGTTCAGGAATCCCATCCTCTAAATATATCATAGCTATTACCCCCAGGGTGTGAGCGCTTATTAGCTGTTCTACCCTGGTGAAATCACCTGGAGCGCTAGCCAGGGTTCAGGCTCTCTATTTATCACCTACCGGAGGGCAGGAAAATTAAAAGTAATTTCAAAAGGTTATAATTTTAATTTCAAAAAGTACTTCGCGGAGGAATTAGTGACATGACCCACCTGGAGTCTATCGACTTCCTAATGAGGTCAAAATCTGGATTCAAATTATTTAAATATTGACTACCCAAAATTTGGGAATGTAACACTTATATATAATCTTTTTTACCTGGGGTGTCGAAATATTAATTCATTCATTTTCAGTTGTTAATTAATTTTTCTTTTTAAGATGAATCAGAACCACTAATAACTACTTTTGATAAAGGAAGTAACTATTTGCTCGGTGCAGAACTCAAATATCAAAATGGTCAGTGGGAAGTTTGCATAACCAAAAAACAAGACTACGAAGTGCAAACCATGCGAAACTATGTTTTTTGGATCTCCAAAGGTTCCGATAGTTATTCGATTGGCCTTTACATTGATAATATTGATGATAATGCACCTGTGATTCATCCACCAGAGCGAAACTGTGCTATAAAAGTTCGAGAGATGAAACAAATTTAAACGACCATCGTGATTTATAAATTTATGTATGATTTTTTTTTGCAGGAGAACTATGAAGGTAAGAGTAATTGTACATATCAAGTGAGTGATGCTGATGGTTGGGTTGATCAAGTAGTTATAACGCTGACATCATCTGTAAAGGTTTTTATTTCAGTTTTATAGATTTTTTAATCTCATACAGTAAAAACCTCGACAACTTACACCGAGGCTTTATTTTAATATAAGTTTACATATCTGATAAAATTATATTTATTTAAACATTTAAGGAAGATATCAAACGCTTTTATATCTTCAGTGAACAAATTAACGAATATAAAGTAAAAGTACATGTTGGCATCGATAAACCTCTGGATTTTGAAACGATTTCAATGTATATGTTATACATCAATGCAACCGTAATTAATACCTTTAATAATTAAGTTTGCAAAACTATTAAAAACAAAACATAAGATAGTTTGAAAAGTGATATCTATCTGTTTCTAATATAGGATAATAGCAATAATACAGATAGTTTAACAACAATTCTTGAAGTCATCGACATGCCAGATGAACTACCAAAATGGGCTCGCTTAACAGCATCAGAGACTCTAAAAGAAAAATCTACACACGTATGATTTAAAGAATATTTTGTGTAATTTTTAATTTATTTAAATATTTGTAGGCACATGAATATTAGTAAGCTTTGAAGAAATTTATCAAAAAAAAGAAATTAGGAAAACGGTTGACCCTGAAGGCCATCCTTGCAACTTCCCGCTAATTCCATAGCTCTTCGAGCTCAAAAGTCTGATAGAAGTTTGATAAAAGACTATTTTTTGAGTTTTCAAAAACAATAATCAGTAAAAACAATAACTTCCCGATTTTTGAAAATCTTCGATTTTCTTAGCGGGAAGTTAAAAATCAATTAATGTACCGTATGATGATTAAATAAGCTTACTTGAATAAGTAAAGTTCAACTAAAATTTTATTCAGATTCTTTTTCAGTGAAGTTGATTTTTTTTTTTAAGAAGCATCCTTTTTAGTTTACGATATTAAAAAATAATTCCGAGAAAAGCTTTAACATTGCATGCTTAATTTTTTTCGTATATTTATTGAATTTTTAAGTCAATTTTTAAATACTTTGTGCCTCAACTAACTACTCTTCTAACTTCTTATTCTATTTCTTGCGTAAGCTACTATTTCTCCTTTTTTTTTTTTTTTTTTTTTTTTTTTTTAGACATTCATCGTTACAGCAGTTGATGGTGATATTCAAATAAATGCTGAAATAAATTATAAAATTCAAGTTTTAGACAAAGGTGAGTAGTTATCATCCTTGACATTCTTTTGAACTTTTTTTAATATTATATTTACGATTAAGAATTTTGTCTTTCACAATTGGGTATTTTTAACGAATTTGTTGTCAAATTGCTGAACTTACCTCGCAAATAAAGCTCTCATAGCTATTGTGTACAGTGACAGTGAGATTCAGTCTTTTTTTTCGTCAAGTAGATGACCTCCGCGAATGTAATATAGCAGTCACTCGATTTGTTGAAAAAGAAACTGTTGTTACTTTTAAATTATCAGACGCAACTATCAAAATACAAGATAATTGTGTAAAGGATTTAATGATCGTTTGCAAATGTTTCAATATAGTTAATACCAAGTTTCTATCACACATTTAGAACTTGTTATATTCATTTGTTAATAAAAAATTTTGATTGTCATTCTTTTTATTATTTACTTTTTAACATTGAATAAAATGACACTTTTCGCCCGAAGCAGAGGAAAATTATTGATGATAAAGTAACAGTTCCGGGAGTCGAAACATTGCTTAGGAAATTTTCTCTTCTTTAAGGATTTTTATTCCTATCCTAGCAATTGCTTATAATTATTAAGGTATCAACAAACAGTTAAAGCGTTTTTTTTGTATATATTTTATGTTAAACAGAAATTGAAAAAATGAAAAGTATCCCTTCTAAATTAGATTCAGCATCGAATAAGCTGTCGCTTAGATTTTCCCCATAATTATAACAATTTTTCGGAGAATACTCATATTGCGATTAGAGCAATAAATTAATCTGATGAGGCATTATTTGAAATTGAATAAGGTTAGTAAGAAGGGCTTACCACAAAATTTGTTAAGAGACATTATCAGAATCAAAATCTTAAATTTGGCTATGTCTGGACAAATTTAGTCGTATTTTATGGAACATACAGAAAAAATTTAAAGATCGACGTATTTAAAATTGTTAACTTGAATTCATTCATTTACAATTGTTAATTAAGATATTTTAACGGTCTTATCATAATTTTTAGATGAAGAAGACTTCTTTAATGTCGATATATCAACAGGAGTGGTGACAATTAACCCTATAGATCGTGATACTTTGAAAAAAGACGTTTTTCGGTTTGTAATAATTGCATTTGAAAAAAAAGACATTTCTTCAACAGTTAATGCAACGATCATTGTCATTATTGAAGACATCAATGACCATGAACCTGAAATATTACCTGAAATGCTCTCTATCACGATAAAAGAAGGGAAATATACGACTTTAGAATTCGAACAACCCGTTATGATTACCGATCCTGATTTAGTAAGAGCGATTTAGAAATACGTTTTATCAATCAATTTGAATGGAGGTATTCTTGAAATGATTTTATGAAATCAATAGTATTTTACACACTCATATACAGACTACCAATCTTTACATCGACACATTTGCGCAAACATGTATTACTATAGTTAAAGATGTGAATTAATAAGAATACTGATTCAACTTGATCCATCAAAATTCGACTGTTACATGATTGCAAAAATGAATAATCGCATACTAGCCGAGTGAAAATTTTGATAATTTTACTCCGATTTATTTTGCAGGCAGAAAATGCTCAGTATTCTGTTCATTTAACCGATGATTCTGATTATAACTGGCATTCAGCTTTTCTGATTGTTCCAAACACTGGTTATCAGAATACTTATTTTACTATTTCAGTTAGAGATGCATTGCTGTTGGACTATGAAAATGAAAATTGGAGAAATATAAAAATTGAGGTTAAAGATTTCATTAATTTGTAATATGAATTATTTTCATAACTTATCGACGGTAGTGATTCATTTAATAAAAAATTATCGTTTTATTTTTGTTATTCTTAAATTAGATCCAAGCTACAGAAGTAGCAAACCAAAGTCATGTTGGAAGAAGAATAGTTTCTATAGATTTAGAAAATTTGAACGATGAATTCCCAATTTTTGAAAATAATTCTCTTACAGTATCAATTCCAGAAGACGTGGAGAATAATCATTACATTTGCACAATGCTTGCTACTGATCGGGATGTGAATGATACTGTTAAGTAAGTTCTTATATTCACTAATAATTTCATATATTACAGATATTCACTCAAAACTCCGTCAATCTAAATCATACAAATTTTTGCAAATAATCAGACATTCAATAGTGGGTCAAAAAGGTTTTAAAATAAGTGAATCAACAGGAGTAATCACCACTGCCTTAGATGACAGAATTCATTTGGATTATGAATCAATGTCGGTTATTATTCTCCAAGTTATTGCGACTGATTTAGCTAATCACACAACGTATGCAACATTAACTATTAATGTGATTGACGTCAATGATGTTCCTCCGAAACTTTATTTGGTAAATTTTAATCGTTATAAGACTTTAAAATTAATACATACCATACGACTATAGATCATTTTAAACTTAAATACGTGTAAATCAAATTTCAGCCTACAAAAAAAGCATCACTCATAGAAGAACTACCAGTTAACTCAACAATAGATTATATAATTCAAACTACTGATTCAGATAGTGATGCCAAGTTAATATTCAGTATTGATTGGGACAGTACTACAGCTTTAAAAAATAGTGTTGAAGTTGATCCGAGTTATTATTGTAGGTAATATTCCGATAATTTTATATAACTAATGATAATGTGTCGATTTATTGATCGTAGTATTGTTGTCATGGAATTTGATAGGTAAACATTGCGTCTCATATGATAATTGAGTAAAATAAGCTTTCGAATTTCTTTCAGACATTTAGATATTGTTACGAATTATCCTAAAAAACAAACTGGTTATGCTGAGGGAAATATTTCAATATCACGACGAATAGATTACGAAGCACTGGATGTTATATTTTTGACTGTTGTGGTTACTGACCTGAATACAGTTCATAACGCTAACTCAACCCTAGGTACAATTTTTCATCATGAAATATTAATTAATTTTTTGAAAAAATTTATAGATACATTATATCAAGTCAGTAAATAGTTGGACTTAACATTTTTTAATTAGAATACATTTTGATGAGAAATTTTATTATATTATAATACAAATTCTCGCCAAGACAAGTAATATAAATTATTTTGGAAGCATAAGAAATTAAAACATTCACTACACGGAAGGAAAATTAAAGGAATTTTCAGTTTTTTCATCGTAATTTATCTTATATAGAATTGAAGTGGTGGACTATACTTTCCATATCATAATTTTTAACATACATTATCGTAAATTTTATTTAATAAATAATACTAACAAGAGACTTAAAAAGTCTAATGCTATAGCACAAATTACGCAAGATGTGTTAGTGAACTTTACTATTCAACTATTGTAAAAATTAACAGTCGGTTATTTTACAAGAAATTTTAAGGAGAGAGAGGGATAGAAGGTTGGACTCATTGGTAACTTGGCAGTACCAAAAAATCGGCATTTTCATCCGGGAATTTAACCTAGAGCTCTTATAGTTGGTAGCCAGAAACTCCCCTTCTACGTTATCCGTAAATTACTATAGATGTCTTTCAGCACTTACATAAACTCGCAGTTTAGCGCTGTGCATGCACGGGAAAAAAATGATCAGGCCTGATCATCAGACATGAACAGGCATGAGTCTTCAGGCCTGATCAGACATGAAAAATGACCATGCCTGATCAGGCATGAATTAACCTGATCAGGTCTGATCAGACATGGTCATTTTTCATCCCGGTTCATGCATGATCAGGTCTGAAAGCCCACTATTGCTTCTAATTAATTCTTTTGCTTAATTTTATGGATATAGTTCTTGATCGAGTCATACGTGAATCTCTACAATGAATTAAAATACAAAAAAAAAAAAAATAAAAAATGCCATTCGGCAGTCGAAATGGAAGTAGATTTCCTAATACTTAAATAAAATCACAACACTAATAATACAAATACTTCGATCACATTGATGGAATTCTTTCTCCCTAAGTTAAAACGAATGCAATAGTAAATTTTCATTAAATATCTTCAGACGAATAGGTTATTTTCAGTCTAGAAGCATAAAATGACATGAAAATTAAAGCTCGTGTAATGAGATTTAAACAATAATTTACAAAAATTCGATCAATTATTTCAATAAAAAGTTATCCGAGAAAGGAACCCGGGAAAAAATGATCAGATCTGACCATGCCTGTTCATGTATGATCAAGCCTGAAATTAGACCTGATCGTGCTTGTTCATGTATGATCAGGCCTGCAATTAGACATGATCATGCCTGTCTATGCCTGCTCATGTCTGAAGCGTCAAATACGCTCAGGCCTGATCATGTCTGAAGGGGTAATACGCTCAGGTCTGGTCAGGCCTGTTCATGTCTGAAGGGTTAAATACGCTCATGCCTGTTCATGTCTGATAAGGCCTGTCCATACCTGTTCATGTCTGAAGCGTGAAATATGCTCAGGCCTGTTCACGTTTGAAGCATTAAATGTGCTCAGGCTTGTTTATGCCTATCCATGCTCAGAAAAGTTAATTAAATTTACTCTACAGTAGGTTTTTAATGATAATCAAAATACTTTTATTTATTGAATAATAAAATATACTGTTTATTGACAATTTACAAATTAATTAATCGAAATTAATGTACATACACTGAGCATACTCAAAAAATTTTTCTTACCCGGGAAAAAATCATCATGCATGAGCATGTATGATCAGGCGTTAATTTCATGCATGTATATTTGCCATGCAAGGGCTTGTATGATCATTCATGATCATATGTGATGAAGCATGATCAAGCTTTTACATGCCTGGCAAATATTTATAAGCAATCATGCATGACCAAGCATTTTTATCGTAATAAAAAAATTTTAGTTAACAAAAATTTTTTTTGCTCGACGGGCAGAAAGCGTCAAATTTCGGCCCGCTGCGCTAAACAAAAGTGCCACTTTCTGCCTTCGTCGAGCAAAAAAATAGCATACACTCCTCGGCTTCGCCTCGGCCAACAATTACATGTGATCTGAGACATTTCTTACTTTACTTTCCTCGGTGTGTAATATACTATTTCTGTTTATCATGGTTTTAGTTTTTCACTATTTAGTAGCAATTAATTGTTTCTTTCACTCAAAAATACCATTTGACATCCGGTCCTTTACGAGACTCGAACCTGGGACGCTTGAGTCATGAAGCATGAACGATAACCACTACGCTGATCCGCCACAATACTTAAAGAGATTTTTACTACACGAGGAAAAATTTCTGGGAAAATTTACGATACAACTATTGTAAAGCTGGACTATACTTTTATTACTATTAATTGTCAAATATTTTAGAAGAAAAAATACTATTTATTCATGAAAAAATACTATTTATTCATGAAAAAATACTATTTATTCATGAAAAAATACGATATTACTGTTGTAAAAAGTAAGAATTAAAATTTCCAGTCTTGCCTCTGTATCTTTCCAATAGAACTATAGCAAATTTTACAATAGTTGAATTGGAATGTTTCTCAATCAGTGTGTGATGGCCGTGCACAGCGCTAGACTCCGAGTTTATGTAAATGTTAAAGGACATGGGTCTTAGTTTACCTTGGATAGCGTAGAGGGAGAGTCTCTGGCTGCCAACACAGAGTTCTGGGTTTGATTCCCAGATAGCGAAAACCGAAAATATCGGTTTCTTTTTTTGATTACTGTACAGGTACGAATTAGTCCAACCTTCTATCTCTCTTCCTCCCTAATATTTCTTTTAAAAAAACCAAGTGTGAATTTTTACAATAGTTGAATTGTAAAGTTCACAAACACATATTATATAATTTGCTCTATAGTATTCGACTTTTGACGACTCTTGCTAGTCTTATTTGTTGGATAAAATTTACAATAGTAGATCGTAAAAATTACTAAATGAGAAGTATAGTCCACCGTTACTATTTTATTTAGTAAAAATTACAATAGTAAAATAGTAAAAACTCCTTCAGTTTTCTTTCCGTGTACATATACATGATCATACTCAACCATACTTGACCGTGTATGAACGTATACTGTGAGAACTAAGAGGTCGTGCATGAGCCTATATGAAGGAGTATGGCCTTGTATGACCATAGAAGAATTTTGCTTGATCAAGCCTGATCGTGCATAATTCAAGCTTGACCAAGCTCAATCATATATGACCATTTGTAATTAAGCTAAATAAGTGAGCGTTACCCTACCTGATCATGTATGGCTATGTATGATAATTCCGAAACAACACTTTTTTTTATAACTATTAGTTGTAAAACAAATTGAACTTTTCCGTAATACATGAAAACAAATAAGAATAACTTTATTAGTAATAATACTAATAATACTTGAGGGAAAAGAGACTTTAAATTTGAGTCAATATATAAAAAATATAACATAATAATAATTTTCTTATCGAATTTCTTATCGAAATAAACTTTCTTTGTTGCTGTAAGATGGACAGCGGTGCTTCTCGGCCTATCATACCTTACTTCTACCCAGTGCTTTGTAAGCATATCTGGGGAAGTTGTAGGAGTTTTTAGTAGCATAACATTAAAAATTTTATATTTGCTATTAATTTGTTGTATTTGTCACAAATTTGAGTTATATATACATTAGAAATAAACTTTTTTTTTTTTTCTTATCGAATTTCAAACTTTCAGAACATTACGAATCAAATTCATGATGTTATCGTGTGTGGTATTGATTTTGGTCACGGAAAAAGTTATCGTGCATGATCACGCTTGGCCAAACCCGATCATGAATGATCGTACAAAGCCATACGCAGTCAAGCAGGTTCATGCTTATTTATTCTATTCAATCAAAAATGGTCATGCCTGATCGAGCTTGGTCAAGCATGAATTATGTATGACTGTTCAAGGGCATGTACAGTCGTGCATAATAGTCCCCACTGTGTTAAACGACTTTATGCATGATCAAGCTCTACCAAGCATGAATCATGCATGATCAAGCAAGTTTCTTGTATGGCCATACAAGGCCATACTCCGTGATGCAGATTCATACATGACCTTACAGTTCTCACGGTACAGTCATGCACAGTCGAGTACGGTTGTGTATGCTCATGCCTGTTTCATGCTTGGTCAAGCACGATCATACATGCTGATTTTTTCCCGGGTTAGTATATTTGGTCCTTAGCATGATCAG